GTTTCCTTCACCTGTAATCCATAGTATAAAAAACAAAGCGGATCTTTGACTTCAGGAATTCACTATTGCCATATTTTCAATTGGAAAATGTATAATCAAGGATTTAGAACTGCAGGCTAGCAGTTGGTCAATTAAAGTGTGTGTGTGTGGGGGGGTCTCCTGGTGTTAGTTTTAACCTTTTGGGATCTGTTCTTAATGGTTTTGTTTTGTTTTTGCTTGCACTTTTTCAAAGGCTCTGTTGCATATACAGCAGCTTGAAAGTGTGTCTGTCCAAGGACAAATTTTAATCCTTAGACAGCAAATGATTCCCTCAGTAGGAATTGCCATGGTATATTTCTAACCGAAACAAACAGAAGGAATTCTTAAAATTTATGTGACTTTTAGCTCTATTGAAGAGTTGAGGATGGTGTGTGTGTGTGGCATTTTCTTTTATAACATACGAGCTCCCAGTCAGTCTAGAATCGCGCGTGCTAAAGGCGAGGCATCTCTGGGACTCCATGGGTGTCCTGCCCTGCTGAAGAATGTTCTCAAGCTCTTCGTGGGGCCCTGAGAAGTCGTGTGGGCCTGTGTCAGGACAGCCACAGGCCTGTAGATGCACTGCCTCGATAAAGGAGTATTTTTCCAGAGTCTCCCGCAAAGAGGTGGAGTCTTTCCCAACCCTGGACTGAACTGAGGATCTTCCACGTGCAAAGCAAGGAATCGCCCTTCTTGGTTGAAGTGGTTGAATGTGCATCTCATTGATCTTGTTGTTCATATGTGAGACCCCCCCAGGCAGCCCCCATGGGTTGAAGTCCCATATGCCTGGCCTCATACTTTGAATGTGAATTCAGCCATCTGATAATGTGGTTATCATGACATTTGGGAATGTTAATCTGTAAATAGGGGAGTCTTTACTCCTGAACCTTTAAGCAGTCAAAAAGGGTCTGGCCTGATGGGAAACCCAGATTAGCCGTTCTTCAACTAGTTATGAATATGGGTAGTTAAAGCTAGCAGATGTACATTTATAGCAGACACACATGTTGTGAGATGCATGCCAAAAGGCAGAAATCACTTGCACAAAGAAGAGGGTCCCAAGAATGCCATAAAGCCACAGAGAAAATGGAATCCTTAGGAAATATAAAGTGGGTGTCATGGATATATCATAACAGTGTGGTGCGTTAAAGCAATGATATGTGAGAACCACATGTGAAAATAGCAGCGTAGTCCAAAAATGAAGGCTGAGCATATGCAGCAGGGGCTAAACACGCATTAAAACTGACGATGCTGAGATGATGCTGATGTGATTTCAGAGTAATTCCCTTGCTTCATCAAAACCAGTTTGGGAATGAACAGTTTTCAAAGATGGCAACTGAAAATGACTCTCTTGCTTCATATATCTCCCTTCCAAAACACTTTATTTGATGCCATTCAATCAGGGTTTCTCAACCAGAAGCCTCCAAATGGAGTTTACTATCCCCTAGAAGTGTCAGTCTGAAAATTGATTCAACGGGGTATTAAAATTCCAAAAATGGAGAATGACTCAGGTCTGCTATATTTGTTCATAAGTCTAATCTATCCAATTTCTGAACCTTTCTATGAACCTTTTAAAAATACACACACACACACACACACACACACACACACACACAAATTAACTTTTTTAAAATGTTTGCAGCTTTCTGCAACACACACTTTATATGCAACTTCCCCATCTTTCCACACAAGGTTTGACTTGAGAACTGCATTGCAGACTTCAGAGGAGGGCGGAATCCAATCAGCTTGGAAAGTGTGAATTGGGTTTGTCGACTGAACAAAATTCTCTGTCCTTTCTATATAATCAGATACTTAAATCTCTCCTGTGTTAGGAAGAATGGCGAGATGTACAGGTGTATGTACCTGCTCTGTTTTCATAATTCATGGAGAGACCCTAAAGGAGGGTGACAAAAGTGTTAATGTTTTGAGATACTTGCAGAATGCCTGTGCTTCCCCTGAGATGTTTTAGAAGAGTAAAATGACTGCATTTAGCTCCTTGGCATTCCTGGATGCGAAAATTCTGAGCAAGGTTTGCTTCTCCTGTTCCGTAAAAGCATATCTTTGTTCATGTTGCAAATTCTGCTACATAAAATTTATGTGCTTAAATTATGTTTCCATTCGATGCTAAGGAGCATCATATTGGAGCGTTGTGTGTTAACCTTGACCTCTTTGCACAAGTGCCCTGTAGCAGAACAAGAGTGAACTAAAGAGAATTAGCCCCTTGAGCAAATCTTGGTGGTTGCAGATCTGGGGGAGGCTCAAGGCAGCATAACAAGATTTATCGTGGTCTAAGCCTTCGAAGAGCAACGCTTACAGCCTCGGTTGTGTGAAGCATTATGTCACTGGCCAGTGAAGCACCTGCGTGCACAGATACAGAGCAGGGCCCAGAGACCATGAAACAGGGGCAGGGGGGATCATGCCCACCTCCTGCGAGATTGGCAGCAATGCGCAGCCCCTGACTCGGCCTTGGCTAAACCGCTGTACTCAGCAGCAGCAGCAGCAGGACGGTTGTATTGTGGGAGGGCATGGTGCTTTTAGTGCTGCAGAGTGCTCACAGGGAAAGAGGAGCCTGCTCTGGCCTGCAGACACGGGGCACCTCATCGTGGCCGTCCCCACTCTGTGCATAGGCTCCGTTTCTGTTTAAATGACAGCAGTTCTTCATACTGGCACCTATTCTTGCTGATAGAATGGCATACCCCGTATGCCCGTGTGTAGCGAGAAATTGACCTCCATCTTTGCTTTTGGGTGGCGCCTTTCTCCTGCTCTGGTGACATGTCAGTGGTCATGCAAGCAGCTGTCTGGGCTCAGACTAGCCTTTCAGTTCTCCCCCCGATGGCACGCCTGCACTCCTTGCAGCTTGGCTGTTGGTAGCCTCACCTTGCCGTCACCGTAGGCAGTTCTGCTAGAGCGAAGAAAGTACAAAAACGTTCCAGCTGCTGCCTGGTTCGAGCTCTGAGCTCTTCAGTACCGCTCCGGAAAGGGCTTCAAGCAACCTGCCTGGCAGGAAGCGGCAGGCAGTCAGCAGACCTGCACTGCTGATGGGTGCAGCAGCTCACCACTTCCTGTTGCTGAAGTGAGGAAACACCGGATGGCTCATGCTCGCCACTCACCAAGAGCTGTAAGCATTTGTAAGACTTTCCATTGTTCCCGTGGAAGAAAGAAAAAGCAAAACACCAGCAAACCCTGGACTTTTCCTCAACCTCAAACAGGAATTTAGTCTGAGTTTGCTGTTGCTGTGTTATGGTGCACGTTCTTTAATTTAGACCAGGCGAACTTCTTCAGTTGCATAAAACCTGCTTTTGCACGTGTCAAATGCAGGTTTGAACATCACTTTGCAGGTGTCAACATTTAGGGTGCAGTCCTATGGCCTCCCAGCACTGTCTGGTGGGCCACAGGCTGACATCAGAAAAACACTCCCAGAGACTTGGGCCTCAGGGTCCACCCGCTCTGCCTTCCCAGTGGCGTGGCTCTTTCTATTCCAGCTGAATTGGGAGGATGGGAAGCTGTCTTCAGCACCAGGGGGCAGGGGCTGAGTATCCCAGTGGTGCCTCAGGATCTGCTTCGCACAAGGAGCGGGGAAAGTTTAGGTGGCCAAAATCAGCCGTCTGAATGTTCTGGAGGAGAGAGAGAGAGAATGGAGGCAGTCGTAGCTCCCATGCCTGTCTTGCCTTCCTTTGGATGCCAGAATCCTTCAAGTTCAGAGGGTTATGAGCAGCTGCCTTGCCTGGGACCGTCACTGAGATCCTCTCTGTGTGGGGAGGAAGCGGTTGTGAGCAAAGTGTCTGCGGCTGTATGGTAAATAACCCCACTTTGCTATGACATGTGGTTCCGGCCAGGTAGAGTACAGCTGCTTTGCCATCCTGATTACCAGAACCTAACATCAAGGTTTTTATTGGATGCTATGCATTTAGTTTTTAAAAATCCACCCGTTTAAAACTTAGTGCAAGGATCTGGGGCTTAAAAATGTGGTCCATTGAAACAGAGTGGACACCGTTCTCTTGGCAGCTTCACTTGCCAAACAAAATATCCCATCACATATTTCCCCTGAATTCTGCTAAATTGCAAGGTTATTCCTAGAGTTTGATCTCTACTGCTGCTCGGCATGATTAAATGCAAGCTCCTCTGTGCCTTCGACAGGGAAAATGGCACAGGGGATTTCAACACTGGGCATTGTTCTGCATGTTTGTTAACATGGGATGATGTAATGAGTGGGGAGCAGGGAAGATGGTCCCCAGGAATGGGGGCCGTGGCCCCTTTTCCAGCTCAAGGCCGCCTGCAGCTTCTAGGTAACCAGAAAGCAGAACTGCCCGCTTCCATTTCTCCAGCGAGGACGGGGCTTGTTCCCATTGCTGCGGAATGGTGTTCCTGTTGAGCAGTAATACTTGGGTTAGCACCAAAAAGCTCTCAGCACAAGGACCGTTCCTCTGCCAGTACACATATATATGTTTGTATATGCTTGTACATAAATAAACTTCAGAGAGCTGGAAATGAGCCACTGTTGTCCCAACTATATCCTCGTGCATCCTGCTAGGAAAAAGCAAATATTTGGGCTTATGCAGAAAATGTACCTAACGCTACACATGTAGCTTTTGCACACTTTGTCGCCTTTTAAATGCTCCAAATACTGACTTTGCTACATGGGTTATAACTTTGCTTCAGCAATGCACTATTGAGATTATAATTAAAATATATACTTGACTGTTAATGTGAAATATTTATGTATTGCCCTTGCATCAGAATTTTATTCCAGAGTGGTTTGCAATGAAATAAGAGGAAAAAACCAACTAAAACCAGTGAGCAGAATAAACCCTCCAGTACGTAAGAAGCCAGAGACCCGTGGCTGCTATCCGGTGTGGACAAGGCTGGGCTAGACGGGCGAACAAGGAGGGTCTCTCCCAGCATAAGGCAGCTGCCCAGTTTCCTAATTTGAGAGTAAAGTGAGCAGAAGAGTGCAGGTTCCTAATTAACACATCTTTCTTTTCCGCCAGGAATTGATTTCAAAATCAGGACAATAGAGCTAGATGGGAAGAAAATCAAGCTACAGATCTGGTAAGTTTGCAGGAGGGTAACTTGACTGCGACAGCCGCATCTTGTTCACCAAGTACTGGCCGGCAGCTCATTGCTTATCTCTTCCATGCTCTTCGCAAAATTATCCTTGAACTAGTAACTGTGAGCATATTTACTCATTGGTCAGATCAGCTTCTGTAAACAAGGACCCTACCCAACCAGTAGCAGCATGGACTGTATTGACAGGCGAGGGGGATACAGGATGAAATAATGGAGCGCACCCCTCGAGGACTCCGCAGAGTCCATCCAGGCCTCCCAGAGGCTGGTGCAGCACAGATAAGGAGGCGCCTCTCTCTGGGCCAGCGGCCTCGGTGAACAGCCTGCAGTCCAGACGCCTTGTCGGAGCCGAAAGGCCTTTTCTGCACCTCCTGCGCTGCTCGGGGTACAGCGTGCTTCACAATATTCCTTAGAGCCAGTATTTGCCAAAACATTTTATATTCTTGCCATTGAAGAACGCTCAAGGCTGATGATAATGACAGTGTTTAATTGATGTAAACAAGACAACCACAAGAGAATTGCCTCACAAAAGGCTGCTTGTCTTGCCGCTTTAGACGTTGGGCAGCACAGTACAGCAAATGGCACATCCAGTTGCCGAGATGCCGTGGTGCATTTCCTGGTGGCTGCAGCATCCTCCCAAGTCTGCTTACGATGCGAGACAAATAGCCCTCCGATCTAAAGAGCTGCCCGCCTGGGGGTGTCAGGGGGCCTCTCTGGACACTGCCGCCTCCTCGCTGTGCCCAGCAGAGATTCAGCAATGAGGCCAATGTGTCTGGAGTTGGAATGCTCCACCAGGAGGACTGGTACTTAATTCAATATGGGCAGGCAGGGGCCACGGGGCACAGGTCCTAACACCCCTCTGTCTGTTCCCGGGTGTGCTTGGGGGCACGTTCGGTCCCCTCCAAATGGGTGTGTTTAGGGTTGCAAGATAAGGCGGTCATCTCAGCAGGGTTACTTCTTTATGTTCCCACCAGGTTGAAAGTGGGGTGACATCAAGATCAGCGCTGTGGGGGCCGAGGCTCTGTGTTGTGTTTGGGCACCACCCGTTTCATGCATCTGTTTTTGTTTCCAGGGATACTGCAGGTCAGGAAAGATTTCGCACAATCACAACTGCGTATTACAGGGGAGCCATGGTGAGTGTTCGTTTTCAGGCTTGCCTTCGCTGCTGCATCAGCCCAAGCGCCATCTTCTTACAATGATCATTTATTTTATTTCTGTATCCCCCATAGCTGAAGCTCTCTGGACGGCTTACCACAAACTTTGGTCTTACTTTGTAGTGGCCAAATTCTCATGATTCCAGCGAAACCTGTGGTCTTGTTTAGTGGGAGGGCCATCTCAGTCTGCCTAGTTTTCACATCCTTTTTCTTTGGCAAGTCGAATTTCCAATACCTCAGTCCCAGAGAGACTGTAATCATTGTGCAGTGGAAGCAGGTCACAGAGCCAGTGGGCCACCTCGATGGGGAATGAGGAAGTCATTCTCGGCTACAGATGGGGCAGGGATAGTATCTGGGGATGAGCAGAAAGTCCAGCGCTTAACCGGGCTGATTCGGGGGTGTGCAGTGGGCAAAGTCAGGAATGGGTGTGATGCGAGACAAGCGCATCAGAGGGTGGGGGGGGCTGCACTGGCACACAGGTGAGGACGAGGTATGTTTGATGTGGCAGGTTATTGCTGCAGAACACAACAGGCATATTAGAAACAGCTCTGCCTCCCCCCCCCTCACAAATTATCAGGAATAGCTGCGACAATAATGGTGAGGGAATGCCATGTATTTGACTGACAGCCACTCTGTTTCCTCTAGGGAATAATGCTGGTATACGATATCACAAATGAAAAATCTTTCGACAACATTAAAAACTGGATAAGGAACATAGAAGAGGTAGGTCCCTGCCAGGCCATCGTTCCTTGATCTGTCTGGCAGCTTTGCCAGTCTTGCGTGGAACGTGACTTGCCGCCAAGCCACTGAAATCGCGAGTGGTCAGAAGAGGTGCCGCTGCAGCAGGGCAGGGTGTGCGCAGAATGGCGTCGGTCCGGCAGTGGATTCAAGGCCCACGGCAAGCAGGACTGCGAACACGTCTAAGTTCTGCAGGAAAACCAAACAAGGGGAGGGAGTAAGGCTGATCGATCTAAACTGCATTCCTGGGAAGAGATTGGATGGGAATAACACTCTCCTATTTAACTTTTGAGCTTTTCCCCCAATGGAATGGAGAGGAAGCAAGAACAGGCCGGTAGGAATGTGAGGCTGCCTCGGTGTGCGTTCGTGGCCTCGCCTGTGCCAGTTTCACCCTCGAGCCATGGCGTTCTGAGAGTCCCTTCCAGCTGGAAGCAGCCGGCTTCGGCCTGGGCTGAGGCCCCCGCTGTTTCCCCGCTTCCTTTTTTCTGAAGCTTTGTTCCTCACTTGGTGCTTTTGTCACCATCAGCCACGCTGCAAGAAGGCAGCGTGGTCAAATGAAGCGAGCCACGTTTAAGGCGCAGGGCTTCTCAAACTGTCGGGTCAGCAGAAGACGTTGGGTGGGGCAGGAGAGAAGCAAGTGGCCCACGAGGCAGGAGGACAGTGTCGTCTTGGGAACTGGCTGGACTGCTCAGATTTCCCTAAGGCACGTGCAGCGTGGCATCCGCATCACCAGCCTGGCCTTCACAGCCGCATCGTGTGCTTCACCAGGCCCTAGAGGCAAGCCTCGGGGGCCTGTAAAAGAAAGCCTGCCTCGCAGGCAGACAGGGCGGTGGCTCTGCCCTGTCAGGCACACGTCGAATTCTGGCGGTTTGTCTCGAATAGAGAAGGAATTTAGTGCTTCGTAAGATTCAGGCCTCCTTGATCAAATAGCTGCATCTCTTTCTGGACCAGGACCATTCCAGGTGCAGTTGAGACTGGCACAGGAGGGCCTATCCCCCCTTTCCATGAGCCCCCCAAAGTTGCTGGCATCTTTAAAAAAAAAGAGTGACAAGACTGGAGGAAAATAGGCGTTCGTCTCCAGCTGGTGTCACGAGTCTTGTTGGGATGGAGGACCTCGATGGATCGGGCAGCCTTGTTCTTCTGACCCACTGCAGAGCCTTGAGGGTGTCGTCCCCCCACCAGCTCTGGCCCAAGGCAGTTGGAGCTGAGTGTTCCTCCTGGACCGGAGAGACCCTCCCTGGTCGGTGAATGGGGCCAGAGCAGCCCTCCCCTCTGCTGTGCCAGGGCAGCTTTCGGGAGGCACCTCGCCTGCCCTCAGTCCGGAATGGGGTGCTCCAGGGCATGCGGAAAGAGGCCTGCCAGCGCAGGGGAGGTCCGTTCCACCAGCAATCCAGGGTGTGCCTCGGCATGTGGCAAGCACCACAGCCTCTTTTTTAGGAGAAAGGCTACCAGGCTGAACTTAACATAGAAAAAATCAGGGAAGAGTTACAAGAATCAGTCTGTACATTTATTTCCATGTCCAATAAGGTGGATGTTAGTGTCTGTCACCCACGCTTGCAAAGAGGTAAGTGGTCCCAGAGTTTAGTTAATCAGAAGGTCCTTTCTGAGCAAAACCCTTTTCTGAAATCTTTTCCCAAATAATACAAGATGGTGCAGTAGGGATCGTCACCTCCCCCTGCCCACAACTTCAGGATGTTGCTTCAGAAGTCTTGACCAGGTGTGTCCAGTGCGTGGCGGCTGGGTTCAGACACGCCGCACCTTGGCTGCTCTTAACAAGCGTTTCCTTCGTTCCCACAGCACGCATCCTCAGATGTAGAGAGAATGATCCTGGGGAATAAATGTGATATGAATGAGAAGAGGCAAGTTTCAAAAGAAAAGGGAGAGAAGGTAAATGTTGCCGAATTAACCGTACTTTGGATAGGAAATCTAACCTTCCATGATGTCTCTCCTTTCCCGCCTCGCCTTTCTTTGAGGCCGTGGCAGCTGAGCCTGCCTAATGCATTCTCACGCCCTCCTTCTGTGCTCATCTGCAGGCGGAATAGGACTGCAGGCCTCTGTTTGCTAGCTGGTGCCATCATCAGCTAGAGCAATTTAAGTCCGATTAATTTTTTCTTTGCGATTCCCGACACGGGGTGTGGGGAAGCCCGCTGCCACTCAGACCGCCCAGCAGGACTTGCTGCGCCCTGCCTGTGGAACGGCCAGCGCATATAAAGGGCGCCGCCTCCTGCCCTCCTTGTGTCCAGGCGGGGCCACGGGGTTTTTCTTTCTGGGTAAAATGGCTATGTCTTGGCTACCAGCGAGATCCCCCCAGGAATTGAAAGCAGCTTCCTGCTGTCAGTTTGGTTGCTGATTGCGCCTGAGCCACTTCTCTTTTTCTATTGAGTCAGTTTTGGTAATATAACAAGCTCAGCTGAAAAGCCAAGGATGCTGCCCAGGCTTGAATTTCAGGGGCCCTCAGACCCGCTGCGGGATTTAGCCAAAGCACGAATCCTTCTCCAGCTCCCACCTTGACCTGAAGTGAAGGACGCTGCCCCGCTCCCCTTGGTTCTGCAGTGGAGACCACGACCTTGTAAAGTGTAGAACTGAAAGCATGAAAGGGGTGCACTAATACCACGGGTGGCCAATCCTGAGTCCTCGCCCACTGGCTGAAAATAGAAAGCCAGTAGGGAGTATTGGAACACGGGGGCCTGAACCTGTAATGCCCGAGGTGCTTTCCATGTACCTGGGACTCCTCTGCCTCACTCCTCCTCGTGTCGCCCATCCGCACTTGGTTGGCCCCAGGGGCTGCTCCATACCAGCATGGGATCCAGGGGCTGTCCAGGCTTGCTGCCAGCCCCCAGAGGGGCTCACAACACTTCGCATGCGTGCAGAGGTACGTGAGCCTCCCAAAACCCCAGTTATAGTTTGAAGGCGGTAGAAGAAGGACTGATCTGTTTGTCAACCCCGTCTTCACTGTAGTGAGGCTGACTGTATAGTAGCAGCTTGCTTTGGAAACGCTCATCATGGCTTCTTAATACTCTTACAGCTAGCAATTGATTACGGCATCAAATTTCTGGAGACAAGTGCAAAATCGAGCATAAACGTGGAAGAGGTAAGAGTGGCTTGAATGGCTGGACCCTGTTGGTTAAACTGTGTCCCAGTGTTTGCCTCCGTGCTTCTCTCCGTCTTGCTGCTTCTGAGCCAGCCCGTGCTGTGCCTTAGTTCTGTAGTTACAGCCATGGTGCACTTAGAGTTTTAATTTTAAACATTTGAGGCTGTTGATGTCCTTCTTGCATGCTGCTGCCATCCATAGTGTTTTTTCTAACTTAATGTTCTAGGAAAAGAGCTCTTTGAAAGAGTAATGCTGTAACGTCTTAATCGTGCATTAAATAGTTAGAAGCATTCTGTTTCTGCAAGGAGTTGATGGTCCTTTGAATCTGCCCAGCGCCGTCTTTTTTTTCTTCTTTATTTTATGTATTTATTTGACACCGAGATCAAGAATTAGGTGCCTGGTTTCCAGGGGTTCTCTGACTCTTTAAAGTCACTGCAATTCTCCTTAAAGAAAAAGCTCACCCTCCACTCCAGGAGGCTAAGATGTCATTGCCTGAAATTAGCTTGTCGTGTCACATTTGTCTGATAATTCTTTTCTTGGTCCTAGGCCTTCTTCACTCTTGCACGGGACATAATGACAAAGCTCAACAGAAAAATGGTTGGTGTCTCTGGTCTGCTGTGTCTTGCAATTGCTCTGTCTCCTCCAATAGATGGAAACAGGAAGCAGCCCCGTCTCGATGGCCAGTCAGATTTGTACCTGGCCACGGACCCGCCGCTTCTCGGAGGGAGCGGGGCCTACATCCGGTGCTACATGACGCTTTGGAAGCGTTTCAGGGTGCCTGCAAGTAACGCTCGGGAGAGGCGCCGTCTCTGCAGGGCTCAGCTTCGTACTGTCCAGTCTCCGGGGCGGGGGGAGGGCCGGACTTTGCTTTGGACTGGCAAGTTGGCCATGCACAGGACGAAGCCGTTTCGCTTTCTGACACTGGAATGTTGATCCCGCTTACTGTTTCGATAGAAGAGCAGGGCGCTGGAACAAACCTTATGGCTCAAAACACGTGCAGAAGAGAGGCAGCTGTTGGCAGTGTCTGAATTGGACACTGAACGTTTGGGAGATTGGAGGCCGTGTGTGCCGGTGCGCTCGGCGCGTCCCCCGGGCTCAAAAGCATTGCCTTGCACTGCTGCTTCTTGAGTTCTGCACACACGAGACGCTCGGGCCAGCCCTCTGCGGCACTCGAGACAGGTCCCAGGGTTGCTGGGGCTCACGGAGTGAGTGCCAGTGAAGTTGGGGGGGGGCGGTTCTGGGAGCGTCCCCCCCGGGGGTCTGTCCTTGAATGGCGCAGGTGAAATAGGATGAGTTGTGTCCTCCGCGCAGCTACAGCCACCCTTTGGTGCGCGCCTGTCCCTCCAAAGGGGCTCACGTGCACCCCGTTACTTTGCACATGCCTTGCTCTTTTGGGGGGCTGCTTTCTCCTGGACTAGAATCGAAGGCACATTTAAGCCTTCCCCCTGGGATGTTTCTCTATGCGAGGACACATGACTCAGCACCACCCATCCTGGGTGTTCCTTCGAATCTCTGTTCTGGGCGGCTCTTCTGCTCCTGCAGAGTGACTCATGCAAGGGTGCAGCCTGCAGTCCTCTCGGAGACAGGTGTGGCCCTGCATCATTGTGTCAGGAGGGATTAAATGCTCCAGATGGGGCAGAGTGGTCTGATTCAGGGAGGAGAGAGAAAGAGAGCAAGGCCTCATGCAGAGATGTGGTAGTCAGCCTCAGAGAAAGGACCCTTTGAGCTTCTGGGGTCCTTTAACTTTTTATAATATGTTTACTCGTGTAATTGTTTGCTTGCCGTTAGAATGTAAGCAGATGAACAGTGTGCATCATCATCGTTAGACTTAAGTATTGCTTGGGGGTAAAAAGAACCTAAAAGCCTTGTTCATGCATGATAACACAACTTGCCTCTTCTTTTTCTTGTGTGCCCCTTAGAATGACAACAGTTCAACAGGAGCAGGTGGACCAGTGAAAATCACAGAAAACAGATCAAAGAAGAGCAGCTTTTTTCGATGCGCATTGCTTTGATGAACTCCTAATAATAGACTGCAGCATACCTAGAACAAACCCTTTTCCTGCTTTTCTGAAAGCAGAGGCTCACCCGGCCTCCGAGCTGTTACCACCAGGCTGCTGCTGAGAGCTCTGTTTGAACATAGAGTGCGCTAAACCGAAAGAGAGCGGATTTGGCGCACTCTGCTTCTCGACCTGTCGGGCTCCCTCCTCTCAAAAGGGAAGCCACGAAGTAGAGCGAGCGAGTGAGTGAGCGAGCGAGAGACACGTGCAGGAGCTCAATCTTCTTTCTTCATCACTTTGTTTCACTGCCTGCTTCTAAAGCTGCTACGTTTTTCTTTGCACATCTGTACTAGCCTTTGGTTGCCTGTTAGAGCCGTCTTACACTTGTATTTGCACAGCTTTTTTGGCCTGGTAAGCGTTCCTGAGCCAACTCTTGTGTTCTCCCACACCCTTGCACCTGCAATGTTAAAGGATTGGGCTGCATGGCCCAGTCCTCTGTGGTGCGAAACCTGTGCTCAGAGGGTTTCCACGGGGTCAGTAAAACTCTGCCGACCGTTGCACAGCGCCAACTTAGCGGGGCTTTGGGCCGTGTGCTTCTCCCGTTTTCAAGGTCAGTTGCTTTTCCGCCCGGTTTTCTTCAGCACAAAGTATTTTGTTTCAACGTACGAGGGAGAGCTAGGCAGAATCCGAGGATGCCTCCGTGACAGAGAAAAGGGGGCACTTGCTCAGAGTCCCGTGGGAATCTGCTGTGCACATACGTGGTACACACAATAGCCCAGCATACATCCCTCGTTTTGTTTTGCTGGACACAGAAGTAGGTCTGTGATACAAATTCGGTTTTCAACACAGTGATGGAAAGCTTCATACCTCAGGCACTTAAAATCTCTGTTTGGGTTATTGTTATCGATTTGTTTAACCAATACAACAAATGTTTTTTTTTCTATTAAAGTGACTTTTTCCTGAATGTAGGACACTGCCTTTCTGTCTCTTAACGTGCAGGAAGTATTGCCTAACTGCTTATGAGAGCTTTTCTTTTGTTAATTCCACTCACTCACGACTTTGCTTCTGTTTCTTCCGATGGCCCATGATGAAAGAGCTTGGGCTCCCCAGTGTGAAGTGCAGCAGCTGTTTCTTGAGTCCCGAGCTATAGGGCTGCTGTTGGAGCCTGCAGACTATTGGAGGGGAAGCTGCGCGCCCCGCGTGCAGTGGGTCCCTGGAGCTTTCACGGAAGGTGTTTTACAAAAAGCAGCCCCTCTTTTGCTGACAGCAACCGTTTTTGAATCTTGAGGCAACTGACGTTAGTTCAGAGCTTTAGAACGGATTGAAATTTAGCTGCCGTACTTTCTGTGCATAGTCCATTACACCACTATTGAACTTTTTCATAAAGTGTTGGGTGACTTCAAAATCGGTGCTTTAGTTGTATTGATGTGCCAAACACGGACCTTTGCGAGGCCTAACTCTTGACTCTGCGCCACTTTAACCTTGATGGCACCGTGGCTCCATTAGCTGCCATTTTGAAGCCGCCTCTGTATGCTAGCCAGGCACGGTTTGAGTTCACTCGTGGAGTGTCAGGCCTTGGTGTTTATGTAACTAGAGGTACCTTTTGCATCTTCGGAGGCAAATAGGTTGCCCTGTGGGCATTTTATTAGTCTGTGTCCTGAGCAGGGTAGAAAAAATTAATGCTGTGCAGTTGTGAATTGAATCACTGTCTTGCCCCTCTGTGGACTTAAGAATATTGCTCCGATTACCTCTTGGATTGGCCCCATCTAGCGTGATGGAAAGAAAGGGTGATGCCTGGCAGTAATGTTAACCGGCGAAACACAGGCCTGCTGGCCAGCTCTAAATCCCCCTCAAACGGAAGCAGTCCTACTCTGTAACAGAAGTGCTTTTTTAGGGCTAGTGCGACCATGCCGATGATGAATGTCCATGCTCGTACCGCCTCCAGCCTCTTTGTATCGTAATCTGTATCTCAGGGGGTTGTCTGAAAGCCGAAACTGACCAAGCTCTGTGGCTCGCTTCTGCACATTCTCCTTGCTTGTGTTTTCTCTTTGCCAGCATCTTGGTTCTGCGTTTGAGCATCTCGTCTCGATGAACTTCCCTTTGAGAGAGCCTGTAACCAGTTGAATTGCTATAAAGTGCTTCTTGAAGCAGCAGCAAATTGGGGTATCTACTTTGTTTGTTTTATTAAAAAAAACTTGCTATTTTCTTACTTCTATCTGTGCTAAAATGTACATAATTTGAGTAAGACCATAGGAAATCCACTTTATTGCTTGGTGTAAGGTTGCCACACACAGTTCGCTTTCTTTCATGTTGCTGTTTAGCTTTTCCTCCCAAAGGATCAGTGACAGAATTGTCTGTTCCCCGCTGAAGTTTTCAAAATTTTTGTTTCATGCAGGGACAACTTTAGTCTTAAAGAAGAAGTGACAAGCCATATTAAGCGCTTGTGGCTGCACTGAAAACTTTTTCGTAATCATTTATTTCAGACCATTCTTCCTACAAACAGGACTCCTTGTCGAACAGGGAGATGCTGTGTCCTTCTACAGAAATGCTTCCCCAGAGTGCTGCGGGTGAGCAGCCAGGCAAAGATGGCGTGGAACTGCTTCATAACACACTTTCTTATCCCACAGCAGGTATTTTGTAGACGGACCGACCCCTTGTCCCAAGATGCCGATCTCAGACGCTTAGCCTTTAAAACACAGCATTGCCGACTGACAGTTGAGCTTCCCTGAATTCTTCCATTTTGCAGAGCAAACGGCACATTTGGCCTTGCTCCTCTTGATCTCGTTCATTGACTTGTATTATTACAGGGCAATCCTTGGAATCAGAGACCCGCTTCCTTCCCTTTCCTTCTCCTCCACTGGTTCTCTGCTGACTTTTCTAAATGGAAAGATGCAGCTTGAAAACGTGCAGACTGTGCTTAGCTAAACTTGGCAGTCCATCAAAACAACATTAAAGCGTTGTTTCCTTCGGTCGGTGTTTTTATATAGGTTACAGCTTAGAGCGTCAAGTTTTGTACCTCGGACTGCAGACTTGGACTCTTGTGCTGCATACAAAATATCAAAATTCTTCATTTAACTTGGTATTCTGTCTTAACGAGAGTTGTAAAATACTTGCCAGTTTGGGGCAAGGGGCAAGTGTAATTTTTTAGCGATATATATACTATATATATCTATGGAGGAATTCATTTGCCCCAAGTATTTGCCTCCCATCTCACATTCAGATTCAAAACAGCACTTCTATTGCTCTCCCTAGCCGAGACAGATTTTGTGTTAGACCAGTTATGTAAACAATTTGGCGCTTAACAGAGTGACAGTAAATACGTGCACATGTTTTTGGCAACTGTGAAAATGCCTGATTAGAACAAGTGTTTTTTTTAATAGAAAGGCTAAGGTAACTAATAGTCTCTGTATCTCCTAGTCTGTATTTCCAGGGATGTGCAGACACAAGACATCTTAGGCCCGCTGCTTCCTGGATTCTGGAGAATTTGTAGTATATTCCTATGGCCTTACAAATATATATAAATATATATTTTTTTCCTGTGCTAATGACATTTCCCCCTTGGGCTGATTTTGCTGCAATATACTAAATTCTGCGAAATAAAGTATGCTCAAACTAGCCTAATTTCTTTACATGCGGTCATTGCACCAGGTGTGAAGCTCAGCACCATCCTTCACTGCTCCAGGGCCACAGGTGGAAGGGGACTGCCCAGTGTGGACTCGTCATGTGGTTAACTTGTATGCCTGATGATTCATTGTGTACTGATACTCTGTAAAAAGACGAAAGGGGGAAAAGGGGCGTTATTTCAAGTGAACTTTTATAACTATGTGCGTCTCAAATAAAATGACACAAGTCAGTGTTCAGCTTTTGTATGAAGTATATACCGCGTGATCAGACATGTTCTGTGCAGTGTTCTGACTGGGTGTGTGGGAAGAGGCACGAGCGGGCCGTGTCGTGCCGTGCAGCCGATGGTCCTTTCTCCTCTGTGGCATCATGAAGGGGGTGGCTGCGCGGAGCTCACTGTGCCCCCTTTCTCAGATCCAAGGCAGCCTCATGCATTTCGGACCCTGTATGGAGGGCGTAGCTGTAGCCCTGGCCGGAGGTCCGGCTGCATTTTCACCTGCCCCCAGTTGTTGCTTTGTGCACACCTGCAGATGGTAATCTTGTTCCACCAGCATCTTTCCACATTTTTCTGCTGAAGACACGAGGGGTGGGATCCCAAGAGTCGCACAGCAAGGTCAGTGCTTTGGAGTGATGTTCGCCGGCAGCGTAGACGCCGTCCTCCCTCGGACCGCTTTGGAAGCCGCACCTGGACAGCAGCGTGGCCCCCTTGGCCTGCTGCCAGAAGCCTTGGGCACGGGGGAGCCAGAATGGGCCCGAAGGAAGTCGCCGTGGCCCCTCTCTACCCACCAGCGGGACGGGAGCAGAATGGCGGCAGCTTCCTGCCAGCATTGCCTGGCCACGGGCAGGGATCCCCAGTTGCCATTTTGATGCCCAGCCCGGTTTGGGGAGATCGTTTTGTACCTCGTCGGTGTCCCTCTCTGTCTGAAGCGGCCTCAGCAGTTCGCGGGGCAAGCCTACTCGCCTCTCCATTTGATCCTCACGGTGACAACCCTCTGAGGTGAGTGAGGCCGAGGGAGTGAGCAGCCCCAGGGCGCCCGGCTCCCGTTGGCTTTCACCCAGCCACTTGAGAAGCGGCTCTGCCACCATTTGGGATAAGCGCCAGCCATTTGGCACGTCCCTCACAGGTAACGCAGGTGCTGATGACAAGCTTGTCTTCAGGTATCTGGAAAGGCTGCCAACAAACGGCTTGTTGCCTCAAGGGCAGACTTTTTGTGTCCACCTGCTTTGTGTGTGTCTACCCAGAGTGTGTAGCATCATGGCATTCTCTTCTCAGGACCAAGGGACCTGCGTCTGCCCGACAGATGAGGAGCTCCGTGGCAAGCAGGGCTGTGCGTGGCCGAGCGCCACACGGCCTGCCACTTAATCCCTTGTATCAAATTCCTCTCTGTACCTTGGCGCTGGCGTGTTGCCTTGCACAGCCGTGCCGGAGTATCTGGTGGCATCTTCTTAATATTGTTGAAACTTGCTGAATCAGTTTGTAGCTTAATATTGTGCCAGAAGGAGCAGCAGAGGCTTACGCAGACGTGCGGTGGTGCGCATGCATATTTTGTGAACAGAGGCGTATCGACGGATGCTTGCACAAGGCTGACTCCAGGTTTAGTCATTTCTGAAAAACTTAGCAGACCCTTTTATTTCAATGGGTGTGTTCTAAGCATGACCAAATCTGCAGCTCACCAATAGGAAGCCCTACTGCAGTGTCCTAAAACTCTTACTCGACTGGGGATTCAACGTCTTCTAGAGGATGCTGGGCAGATTGTTAGCATCTATACCACGGACTGGGGAAGAGCCTAGTTCGAATCTTGCCTCTGCCAGGAGCTCGCGAGATGGTCTTCGGCACTCCACCCTCACGGCCTGGGTCTGCACTTCTGCAATATGGGAAATAAAAAGCGTTCTAAGGATGGCAAGGAGGTTGTGCAGGGGAAGTCAGTGGTCAGCTTTAACGTGCTAATTTGGGGCTGGGAAACGAGCGGCTATTCATTCGAAGACACTGAAGGCACGATCTTACGCGCATAGAGACAAAGATGCCCTGCGAGCCCCGGCATGTGGTGCAGGGCTTGGCGGGGCCCCATCCCATCTGAACATCCATGAAATGGTGCCCCAAGTTGCCTCTTGTAGCGCTCCAGTTAGCTTGGACTGCAATCCCCATGTTACCTGGAACTGGGGAATATGGTTACTGTAATATTGTATGATGCATCGCTCTACTCTTGTGTCCTGGTGACCTGCTATCTGCACAGTTCAACACAAGAAAGCAGACTCTAAATATTAATATCAGGGTACAGAGAGTGCAGGGCTGGGACTCAGGCGATCTTGGTCCTAGTCCCCGCTCAGCCACAGAGCCAACAGGGTGACTTCGAGCCAGGCACAGACTCTCGGTCCGGCCCGCCTCACAGGTTTGTTGTGGGGATACGATTAAGAGCAGCAGCAGCAGCAAGGAGGTGTAATTTACTCCGATGCTTGGAAGGAACAAAGGTGGGATAAAAATATAATTAATAAATAGAATGCATGCTAATGCTGAGTGAGCAGGATGAGAAGAGGGTGAGCAAGAGAAGCGGGAGGAGTGTGGAGTGCTCAGCAGCCAGTCCAGGCCAAAGTAAAGGCCCCTTCCCCTTTGGGGCTTTCCAGGGGTGGCGGGAGGGGGGACCGGATGGGCTGGTTCCCTGCGAGGCCCAGCAGCTGGGCAGTGGAGCACCCAGCGGGGTTCCCCCTTGTCTTTCCCACCTGTGTTGCCATTTCCCCCGCCACTGGCCCCAGTGACACGTCCTGGCCCTCTCGTGGCAATGCGAACCAAGCGCAAGGTGGTTCACCGGGATGCCTGTGAGTTCGAGGATATGTTTGCTTTTGGCGTCTGATTACGGTTCTGCCACTAGATGGCGCCAGCGAGCTTCCCTGTGAGGCTTGAGTCCACGCGATGCGATTGTGCACCGCGTCTCGGCTCGGTTCCAGGCCTCTGGAAATGCACACGCCGGTCTCCCTCGCCAGGTGAGCTTCACCTGCTCTCCTAAATGGCTGCCCTCGGTTAACTTAATTCATCGAGTCTGTAGCATTTAAACGCAAGAGACTTCGCTCACATCAGAGAAGTTTTTGTCTTCCTTTTGACTTCGCTTCGCATCTCCCCGCGTCCCTTGCAAAATGGCCGACCCTTTAATTAGCCACCACGCTACTTACAAAGTAGCGTTGTTGGCTTTTAACATTTGTGTTGTTTCTGTCTTTGTATATTGTGGCTTGTGAATGGGTGTGCGGTGTTTCTGTTGCTACTTTGTGGTGCAAACCTTGTGCAGCCGCACTTCGTTGTCGGTCCATGAAAAAGCTAAAGAACGGAAATGCTTCTTCCCAGAATGTCACCCGTTATTTCACGTTAAGGCAATTCAGAATATGAAAAGTATGTTTAGGGCTGGGGCTTGTACACTGGATTTTAGCAGGGTGCCTTCTACGGGCGAGTCTCTCAGAGTATCAGGGCATCACCATCACTTTTGGGGCCTGGGCAATCCACGGGACACTTGCCTACGGCTGTGCCAGCATGGCCCGGTGGTCAGAGCACTGCACTAGGACGCTGGAGATCCGGGTTCTAGTCCCCGCTCCGCCCCAAAGCTCCGTGGGTGGCTTTACGCCAGTCACAGGCCCACAGCCTGACCTACCTCACAGGGTTGTTGTGAGGATAAAGGAGGAGGATCGCATGAACTGCCTTGGAGACGTGGGCTAGAAACGTGGCCTAGCGTACAAGCTCCCTGCACATCCAAGCGAGAAGCACTGTATTTGGGAGCTTCCAGGGCCAGCCGGAATGCTAGGACCCAGCAGAGGTGTTAATGTTCCTACGTATGCATGCAGAAAGAAACACATGCACAATTGTGATGCTTTGGTATTGCCTTGAGAGCCGTTTTTGTGTGGAATTGTTCATTTTGGTTGTGGTTTTGGCTTTGGGAAAACCCTAGGAGCCATAATTGGGAACACATCTGCAAACCTGCATCATAAGCATGACAGCCTGTTCTGTTTTCCCTAAATTAAAGATAGCATCTCGTCACCACGGTGCGAAGTACTCCTCTTGCTGATTCATCACCCAGTTAAGGACTTCTTTAAATGGACCAGCTTCTCTCTAATTAGGCAATGAAGTTGCGTGGCTTTTCGGTAACTGCTTTTAAGGCTAAAGGTTCAGCTCAATGACTTCAGAAGCTGGGACTGGACGGGAGGCATGGCTGGGTTCCACTTTTGCTACGTCTGAACTGCCTCGTTGCCCTGAGGACAGTAACAAGGGGACACGCCAAAAAGCGCTGTGACTTGCGTGCTTTTGATGTTTGATCGCACTGGAGTACTATTTCCTTCCTTGCTGACATTCATAAGAGAAACGCAGAAGAATTCCAGGCGTTGTTTTAAGATTGCAACACTCAGAAAAGTCCAAGTCTCTCTATGCATTGCGCTGCATGTATGTTCTGACCCTAGCGGTAATCAGTGATTGTGTTTGGTTGCAGTTCAGCTCTTGTGCCATAATATTCAAACAGAGCGAGTTAGAAGGGGTCTCCCGGGCCATCTAGTCTGACCCCCGCCTCCTGCCGGCTCCGCTCGTGACATGCCTACATGACTTTATGTGGAACTGTAATAATTCCTACAGAGTTGTATACATATGGAAAGCAACCAGCCCTTTATATATTTCCGTATCTGTGCCCGCTCCCACGCGCTCATTCCCCAACCTCCCTAGGTCATTGGCTCCACTGTACTGTTCTCAGAGTCAGTAAATTTTTCCCTGATGTCTAGCTGGAATCTGGCTTTCTGTAGCTTAAGCCCGTTATCCCATGACCTGCACTGGGATGATCCAGAAGATACGCTGGCCCTCCTCTTCGTGACAGCCTTTCAAGGATTTTATTTATTTTATTTGAAGCTTTTATAGACTGTCCCATCACTGGCATCTTGGGATGGTTTGCAGCAAACACAAATAAAATAAAAAGGACACGGCATCCAGTGATTCAATATTAAAACCACATTTTTTATTTATTTGTAGCTTTGTGGAGTGCTAGCCTGTCTCCTCCAGTCTTAAGAGAAGACTAAACCTGCCCAGTTCTCTCGACCTCTCCTCACGGGGCTTTGTCTCCAGTCCCCAGATCATCCTTGTTTCCCTCCTCTGAACACTTCCCAGCTTCTCTGCAACAGGGAACTTCTCACAGAGGGAACTGCAGAGCACTGTTCGAAGCCCAAGCCAGGGATGCCTTTAGTGCAATCCCCCCGCCACAATCACAGGAAAGGGGGGGGGGGTCTTTGCAACGGCCGGTTCCCTGTTGGAGCAAAAAGGCCGCGCTCTCAGCGGTGGACAGCTTCTCCGCATCACTTGGAAGCAAGTTCAGGAAAACTAACAGGAAGCATTTCTGGACTACCACCCAGAATTCTCTCTCTCTCTCATTCTCTTTCTGTATACACACGCACAATAAATATTTGTAGAAGCAAGGAAGCCACCATAAAACTCTTAATAAAAATATTTATTATATGATGCTACATATAGTTCAAATTACAGTTTTGGTGTAGGGAAGCCTCCTGTTATTGTAAAACAGAACAAAATTCTGCACAAAATCGTGGCGTCCACCTACTGTCCCTGCCAGGAGGAAAGGGTTTCCCTCCCCTATTATTCCAGTGGAAGGATTAAGCAGATGCATAAAACTGTTGAAATCAAGTGCCTAAAAATACTTAATTGGTTGAGATCATGTCTCCGAGATGATAAAATTAGCACGTGATTATATACTATTTTCTCACTCTTGGATTTGTGTATGTAATATTTTCCCATATATTTTTAAAATGTCTTGCTTTTGAAACACTGTCCATATTCATGCTCTTACATTTGGCACCGACAAAGGATTTTGTCCCCAAAACTGCCCTCGCCACTTCCCCCACTGCCCCATCTTTTGATTATGTCCTCCATTTTCTTCTCTGCCTGCTACCCACTACTCACGGAAGCCACCCACCGATCCAGTCTGCCAGACTGCTGTCCTTTGCTGATTAACCATGCAAACAGGATGGGCCCTGTGACAAAAGCTTTACAGTTGAACTAGCAGAACTGCCTGACACAAACAAGGAAAGTGTGAAGATACAGGCAAAGTTGTCATCCCGGGCAGCTGCATGCATGCATTTTGCTGGTTTTCCTGAATCCAGTTCCCCACAAAAGGAACTTCCTCTAAGAGGATGCAAGGGGTACACTTCTCACTCAGGACCGCCTAAACATGAAAGTTTTGATTCATGCCGGGGATATCTGCTAATTCATGAGGATATCCTTCATCGACCCTTTCATTTCTGGTCTTCATCCCAGAATCCCACTTCCAAAACAGGCTTCTTTTCCAACTGTGCCGATCCCACCCCACCCCACCCCATCTGCACCCACTGACATGCGTGACCCCTCGGGATGAGCAGCTCCTGTTTTATTGTGGGCGATCAAGAGGACCCACCGACACAGAGATCACGCGACGGCTTCCTTCAAACCAGAAGTCTCTTCCGTGCAAGCAGGGCAGCGGCGGTGCGCAGATCCCACGGTTGGAATCGCAACCTCAGTCAAGCTGCTCTCCAGCTCCGAAGGGACTGACTGGGCACTTTTGGCTACGCGTGAAGGCAAGGCAGTGACCCGCCAGCCTGCTCCTTCCTTTCAGCTGCTGTTCAGGTGAGAGTCTCTGAAGATGCCCCTTTCGAGCAGGAAGGGGCGCCTGACTTAATGGGCAGACGAGGGCAAGAGAGAGACACCGCCATGTTTGGAGCTCCTGAGCTGCTCAGGTCCAGAAATGTCCACTCAGGCTATGCCTTGGAGATATTTTGCTCCTCCTCGGAGATGGCCGGCTTGTACAGGACCCCGTTGGCTTCCCCTGCTCTTTCGGCACTGAAAAGCAGAGCAACAGGTTGTCAGCCAGGGCGGAAATTGCTGCTGGAGAATACGGACGAGTGGCATCCGTCCTGCAGCCGGAGTGACAAGAGGGGGCAGAGCGTGTGCCCGGCCCCTGAGCTGCACCCCAGAGGAATCAAAAGTGGGCTCCTCGAGGGGGGAGTCCGGTGGTGCGGGGGAAGGGGAAGACCTTCGGAAGAACTTTGCACTGGGCCTGCTAACGGCCCAAGAAAGCTTGTGATCCCGCTAAGCCAGCGTCCCACAGAACCGTCGCAACTATCTCACCTCTTCCTCCTCCGAATCAGCCAAACGGCCACAGCAGTGACGAGGAGAGTGGCGAGGCTGCTGGCGAACACGACAAACAGGACGAAACCTGGGCAGGGCGGCGGGAAGAGAGGAGAACAAGCGGTTGTTAGTCAAGTGTGAACATCCCCAAGCTTGTCCATAGCTGCCTGGGCAGTCAACAGCAGAGAGGCCTCAAGGAAAAGCAACTGGGCTGATAGCTGAGGACATTTTCTGCTAACTAAGGAACCTGAATTAAGTGGTCCTGGGACTGCGAGCACTGGAGGGCGGCCAGTTGCTCAGGGGCTAGCTGTGCTTTTCGGACCTTCCTGCCCCGTGCACGGCCTCCGTGAGGCTCGGCCCCAATCCAGGTTTGTGCATTTGACTTGTGAGTCCTGCAGGGTCCTGGGCAGCGCACGACCTGTTCTGGAATCAGTGCAAGCTTCCAGGAAAAACCCTGTCTGCATCAAGGTTGGCTGGCTGCTTGCTTTTGCCGAAGAAGAGCTTCTGCGGATGTGCTAGGCTGCCTAAGGCCCAGGACAGAAGACGCGCTGTGAATAAGCGTTTGCATTCGCCGCTGCGTCAGTGGGCTTAGCGTGGGTCCCGCTCCGTAGCGTTTGGTGCCACTTGCAGCTCGGGCCGCTTGGGGAGGCATGCGGTGGGGCAGGCCAAGAGGAGATGAACAGAGGATTCTGTTGGGCAGGAGAAGTCACGATCACATGGTGAGTCGCACAGACGCGGGCGGTGGCGAAGGGGTCTTGAGGAAAACGTACCCACGCTCGGTCCGTCATGCACTGGATCTTCACCAAAGCAGGAAGGAAAATGAAAACAACAAGTCACTATGAATCCCGTGGTGTCAATGCTCGATCAACAAGAACCTAATTGTGTTTCTAATGGGCTGGCGGAGGGCAAGTTTTGCGCGTCGCCTTTGGCCTCTGTGAAAGAAAGGTCAGCCTGAGCCGAACGAACGTCCAGCAGCTGATGCACTGGGAAGCCTCGGGAGGGCCAGGGTTCATTCTGCCCGGCGTGGGCCTGGCATCGCTGGTGGAGCCTGCTGGTTCTGTTCCATCGCTGGGGCCACACGGCACCCCTTGCCCCTCCAGCGGCTGCCTGCGCAATGCCGAGCAAACACACTTTCCGTTTGTGTGCTCCCCGCGTCTGCTGGACGGCAGCCTTTGCAGCTCAGGTGCCAAATTTGCAGAGAAACAGACCTGGGATCTTTCACCTGTGCAGTCGAGGGGGAAATCCTCACATTTCATGCTTTTTTTCTGTAAAGGAAAGCACGCCTAGAACACACGAGCCCTGAAGGAATCTGTTGATATTTGCCATTCCCACTAGGAGAACCAGAGGGTCAGATTTTAGCAATGTATATCTCATCCTTCCTATAATAATTATTGCCAAGGTTGGCTTAGAAATTAGAAGAAGAATCCTTGAAAGTTACAACGCTGATGATAGTCTAAGCAGTAGATTAATCCAGGATCCACTGCTAGGAAACTCAATGCTGGAAAAAATAGCAAGCCGACGTTTTAGTTTTCCTGTCCTGTGGAACCAACAGAGAAGGCAGTAACTAAGCCAAAGCGGGGGCGTGGGGCCCCCGCAGACTTCCCAGGGCACAGAACTCCACCCGGGATGCTTATCTCCTGCCGAGCAAACACGGAGCGACACTAGCCCTGCATTCCGATGTTCTTTTCAGACCGCAAATTTAGACATGCTGCTTTTTGACCTGTTTTTCTACCTGATCTGACAGAGGTGCCTGGACCAGGAGATGGCAGGTTTCCATGATCTTCCACCTGTGAGGCTGGAAAGCCATGGCTGCAGATGTTGCAGTATCTCCCAGAGGTTAGGAATCAAATCAGAAACCCGGAGGAGTAAAATAAATGTTTCTTTAAGAGCTTGCCAAAGAGCCACCTGTCATTGTAAGCGTGTTTTGCCACTGGAAAGCTCCACAGACCTGAAAAGCTGAGCAAAGTTAATATTCAGCCTTGGGAAGCAATGTGCTCATTCAGTGGAAGTCAGAACTTATTTTGGACATTACGCCTGCTCCGATCTTCACTGCTAAAGCTTGCAAATTTGCAGAGACACCCCGGTGTTGGTTGAACTCCAGAGGCATATCCCTGTGGATCTGTTGAGCAGACGTTGGCAAAGGGGCACATGGATTTGTTGTGGCAGTCCATGTGCCACAAGAACCGTGAAGAAGGCTCTGAGAGGAAGGAATGCAGAGTTCAATACAGGCTAGTCAGACTGGGAGGTCACCGCGCAGTCCAGAAGCTCGCTCGGGCTGGACATTTTGTTCTCAGACAAGGTTATTTGGGGGAGGGAGAATGTGCTGTGTCTGCAGTAACTGGAGGAAGGACAGGATAAAGGTATCCTCCGTAAATAAACCCTCTCTTTGCCCAGGTGCCATTCCAGTCCAGCTCCAGCTTCAGCTGAGGTTGATCTTGTTGGGTTCCAGTTCAGGCCAATAAACCAGTTTGGCAAACCGGAACCGATCCGTTCTGGTCCCATTCGCGTGAGAAAATTTAAATATAAGGCGGTGGGCAGGGCAGGGCAGGGTGGAGCAGGTCACTGGCCCCACTCAGCTCTGAGTCTCAGGCCTGGAGGGTCGTGGGCCGCCTTTGGGTGCAGCTCTTCCAGCCACAGGCCGGAAAGAAAACCGTCCCACTGGAGCTGGCAGCCTCCGTGCAGGCTCCGGCAGTGCCCTTGCACAAGCGCGAGAGGCACAAGCAAAGTTCTGCCCAGTCTTTTCGTAGCGCAGCCAGTTGTGCGAGCCGTTGCACCACTGCAAAGCACCGTTGCTTGTGCAGCTGCAGGTGAGCAAATGGAAAGCAGAAAGCTGCCCCGACTGTTGCGTGAGCTTCGGAAGCGGCTTTCTGCCGGCTCCTTTGCCCTCCTTTGCCCAGCCCTTTCTTCCTTGCTACCTCGCTTTCCCACCTAAATGAGGAAGCAGGTCTTTGCTCTGAACGGGTGACTTGACTACTCTGTAGCAGAAAACGGAGCTGCTTTCGCAGGACTGTTCCCGCTCTGGTTCAAGATGTTTAGATGACCGATCGGGGTGGGGGGCGGGTGGAATAAGGTCTGCTTTGTCTTGCTCGTTTGGGCTCGGTTTCACCGTTGCTTCGGAAGTGCCGCGTTCATCCCCAGTCTCGATCTGTTTGCATGTTTGCAGAGCGGCCGTGAGCCACAGTGGCCCGTACGGCGTTGCCCCCAGAACAAGGTGCGTGGGGCACTTACCGGCTCCTTAGACTGGGGGCCAACAAAGGGGTTTGCTTCAGTAATTCTGCCCTCTGCTTTGTTCTCCTTTTACCTGCCTTCCGAGTTTGTTGACACCTTTCTTGACATGCAGTGCCTCAAACTCTACTCAAACTCTGGTTTTACCAGTCAAACCAATAATATGCCAGGAGCAGGAATTAATGTCTGTTGTCTTTTGCTTCTTGGAAAGAATATTCTTTACAAGGCAGAGCTTCGAGCATAGTTTATTATAGATCTGTGGCAGATGTATAAATACAAAAGATTAGAAAAGCAGTCCTCCTAGGCCCCTCCTCCCAGTATTCCCGAAAGCGATCACTGCTCTTACTTAAGGGAGAGAATTAATCAAAGAAAAAATTAGCCATCTTTGCTGCTGTTAATTTCCAAATGAATCCGAATTATTGTTGACGTGCAAGGTGCGAGAGAGAGAGAGCCTGAAAATCCAAGGCCTAGTTTGTACGCATCACTGCAGTCAAATCTGATTTTGGATAACGCACACGCCTTCAATTCCGTGCTGCGTGAATCGGTCCAGGCAGCCGGGGCCACTGCAGCGTTTGGACGTGGCTCCCACAGCCCGTTTCCGTGGCATGTTACGTGGACTCCCCTTTCTCCTGCACCCCAGCCTAGTGGAGTGTTAGGAAGGTGGGAGGTCTGCTGAGCACATAGAACTCTTGAGCAGGGGTTCCTTTGTGATTTCTGGACTGCACCTCTTGCCAGAGTTAACAAGATCGTTCTGTGTGGTTTTGGTCTTTGTTAACCGGGGTGCCTTTCGGATCAGCCAAGAAACTGGTGTGGGGCATGTGTTTTAGCCGGCACCTGTTGATGGGAAGAGGTTGCCCAGCATCCGAGCATCTAAGCCTGGCTGCTGTCCTTCCTGTGTCTGCCCAGAATGCTCAGCCGCGAGTGAGCCCAGCCACAGCAGGCCGTGGGCACTATGGTCAGGGACTCCTGCATTCAGACCTGGGCTGCACCTGTAGGTGCAAGGCCAAGGCTGCTGCTCTGGTGGTGGCAAAGCCCCACTTGTCCTTGAAAGCGAGCCGGGGCTGGGGGCACACGCCTGGCACGGAAGCCGGATGGTGCTCCCGGGAACGCGCTCGTTCCCAACCGAGGCAGGAGTGGCTCCCTCCACCTCGTTTCCTGGAGAAATCACAGCCTTTGTCTGCTGCACCGCCATATTGTGGCCATAATTTCGGTGTCAGGGACTGGGCTGTGGCCCCTGGTGGGCTCTGCAGGGCAACACAGCCCCCTAACCACTGGGGCTGTGGGAAATCCTGGGGCACCACGGGCTCTCCTGTTGCTCCAGCTAGCAAATGCTTCTCTGTGTAAGGATACCTCATACCACGGATGTGTCTTCACTCCGAGCCCTGAGTAACTTCTCACCACTGACGCATGTCGTGCAGAGTTGTTGCCTCTACCTTTTACGTGGCCTGGGTACAGGAGTGTTAACGGAGCCACGGATTTAATATCAAATGGAGATCCCAACAGGCCCAGCCCTACTGGCACGGTACAGAATTAAATGAAGCCCAGTGACCCAGGCGAGGAGGAACGGCTGGGTTGTGGTGTCCCCCAAGGCACCTCCTGGGGCTGTCTGCAAAGACGTTTTCTGCTTGGTTCGTGCTCTGGTGGGAAAGCCTTTTGAAAGCACTTGAACCACCCTGTTAATTCTGTATATTACATAAATAACAGCAGCGCTCTGCCCTGCGATTTTGAAGCGCCAACATTTCAAGCACTTGGGAATCCTAGCAGAGAATCCTTCCTAGGCAATTTGTACAGCTGCTGAATGACGTACCAAGTCCCTCAGCAATCCTATGGATGAGTGAGAGAATAATCTGTCGGAAGCAGCAGGGCCTGGTCCTGAGTGAAGGTACACGGGGCTGTGGGTAATTGTGCGTCCTTCATCGTAAATCGACTCACTTTGAGGCTGCAGCCCAGATTGCACAAAAGTAGCCCAGTGACGATGGTAATAACAGAGGCTACCAATCCCCTGTCAGGTCCACCTCTAGTGGTGCAGTTTGTTTTCGGCTTTTGGGCAGTGGTTATCTCTGCACAGGTTTTCTCAGGACCACATAATGAGCTTTCAGCCGATTATTGCGGCCGCACATTTCACATGAGTCAGATGGCTAATTTTTACACCCATGACGGTGGATCTGTGTAGTCCAGCGTTATGAGCCTTGCTTGTTTTTTACGTGTCAAACTCAGTCTCCTGAAGGACTTCATCAGATCCTTTGAAACTCCCCAGAAAGACTCCCCCTGAAATGCAAAGTTGTGATTCCTTTTAGATGCATGTCGGTGCCTCCCAGGATTCCCACGTCCAAAAGAACCTCTTCGCTCGAGGGCGATGAAACGAAGTCTTTGGGAAATAGCTGTAATTGTCCCGACACAAAACAAAACCAGCACAGATACTTCGAGAGGCCGGCTACTTCGAGCCATCTCTGGCATATGAAAGCACTCCAGAATGGCCTCGGAGTAGGGAATTGGAATCTGGCCAGACTTAAATGGGTATCCGACATTTCGGATTGCTCCAGTTCTGAACACGGAGCAGAGGCGCAACCCTGTAGCAGCTCAGATGCAAAGCTGCAGTGTTCTTCGTTCTGGTGGAAATACTTGCAGGCTGGGAAAAGGGAAAGAGGGTCGTGCGGGTCTCCCTCCCCCACCCTGCCCGTCTTTGGGGGAGATACTGTCCCAGTGCATGGGCAGCATTGCCATACAGCAAGGGCAGGCACCTGGGGCAGACTTTTTACCCCGATGCCCCCGGGGGCTGCAACCTCATCCGGGCTGCTTAATTTTTTTTAAAGGCACGGCATTCCTGGCAGATGAGGGGGCTTAAAGGGTCCACATGCACTCGCAAACACCTACTTTGGGAGTTTATGATGCCTCTCAAGCACAACAGACACAATTTCCCCCCAAAGCTGGGACATGTGGTGCCCACCTGGCCGTAAAGCATCGCAACATTGTGCAACCCCGAATCCTCATTTCTTTTCCGCCTGAGGTGCAGGCAATGCAATCAGATCTTGCAGGCTCAGTGGAACATATTCTGGTTTTCGCTCAGCTGCTTCTGTGCAGAGGATCTGACTACGGAGCAACTGGAAGTTGCTTTGTGCATTGGAACAAGCCAGTTCTGGCTGTCAACACTCGTTAAGAAAATATCAACTTTCTGTTTGTCACAGCATTAAACCTAATTGCTGTTCTGATGTTAATTGATGCAAAATTCAACCTTGCTCATTTGACTTCCGCAGACAAGACAGATATCTTTTACACAGCAAGAAAGGGAGAACCCAAGGCTGGGAGCCCCTCGTTTGGCACCTTCCCAAGCCAAAGACAGGGAGCCAAAGATCTAGGGGATTCCTGCATAATTCCACAGACAACCCTATTCAGAAGGGTGTGGCCTCTTCCCAGAGGGATTTCTGTGCGTAAAGGGCTGCAGCTAAACAACGCATATCTGGGTAAATCGCAGACTTCCGTATGGATCCTGCATCCAGAATCATTGGAAAAATATTGTATGCCACTCGCCACATGGCTTCGGTCCTCCGCTGCCACCAACCCAGCCCCGTTTCCGCTGTTGGAAGCCAACACGCGTGACCTTTCGACATTCCTTTGCACAATCCACCGTCGCTTACCTTGCCGGAAGGAGACAGAAACCAGCCTTTCATCATACTCTTGGACTCTCCGGAAGTTGTTCACCATTTCAAGGGGGGCGGGATCGTTGAGCTGCGTGCAGTACAGCGCCGTCTCCAGGGCCAGCAACTGTGAGTGAACGCATGAGTGTTAGCATGTGAGAAGGCTCGTTTTCCTTCCTCCCATTGTTACAGTTCAGAAGTCCCCCCTCTGATGTCCAGTTTAATTTGGCAGCTGTTTGGTTGCATTATTTCTGGTTATACTACCAGCCGCAGTCCAGAGCAGAAGTAAAGATGCAGTGGAGTAGCAGAAGAAAGCCGCTGTTGCAACGCTGCATCCGAGACGAGCCGCGGAAGGAAAGCCGCAGGCGGGTTGCAAGGTCACGCCCGCCTTTTAGGAGACCTGGATGGACAGGTGTGCACACGCAGCGAAATGCACTCCACACAGGTCTTCTGAGAAGTAAGCCTCCTAGAGTTTGATGGGACCGACTCCCAGGTAGGTGCACGTGTGATTGTGGCATCCGCACGTTTTAGAGGAACTCGGGAAGCCGGCCAAGGTTTGGACCCTCTTCTTTTGATGTCAGCCCATCTGGATCAGGGGTACCAGCGTATCCCCTGCATTTAAACCTTGCAAATGTTTCTCTTTCGTTTTGTTTTCACAGGGGCCACCTGGAGCGTTTGCCTAAGACATTTTGGTGCCCCGGACAATGGTCACACGCTCCCAGGGAGCCTCGCGGTGTCCCTCAGCGCACTGGGGTGCAGCTCTTGGATCGCCCACCAATTCCTTTCTCTGACGAAAGGACGCTTTTTGGATTTGGTTCATGCGGCGTGCCTTCCAGCTGGATTGCCTGCCAGCTTTGTTTGCCTGAACGGATCCGCTGGGCACCTGAGCAGCACCTCCACTGTGAGCCCACCAGGAGCAAACTGGGCGGGAGGGAGCCGCATCCGTGCGCCGTGCCGCGAGCAACCTCAGCCGAGCTTGCGGAAGGTTGCGTGAGCGGGCACCAACCTTCCTTCAGGCACAATTACAGGTAACGTCTCCAGCTTTAACTTACATTGGGGCAAGCTTCAAGGAGACATACCTGCTCCTCTGAAATCTGCACCGGTTTTCGAAACACCGTCCAAAGAACACTGGGGTAGCACGGGGGTGTCGTTAGAGACCCTTCGTAGCGATAGTATTCATCCAGGCTATCTGGGAGCAACTCTTGGATATTGAAGCCTGGGATGAAAGTTTCTTGACCTGAAAGAGATGCCCAGGTGTGAGCAATCGTATTCTCAACACCCCACCTGTCCGCTTTTTCTTATCGGTTGGAACATTCTGAAAGCATTTATATGTATTGTCTTCTCCATCACACCAAGCGGGAAAGCACCAAGAGTTAACCGGCACTATCGGGAGACATATCTTAAGCGGCTTAAATCTTCTCACGTGACTCTCTTGATCTGTGCATCCCCATTCCTACCTTTGTACTTCACGTTCTGGAAGTGGCTGAAGATCTTTTCATAGGATGGATTGAATGGGCCGATCTGTAACAGCATGAAAAAGCATTTTTGTCCAAATGATCACAACTACGTATCGCTGCTAGTCCGGAGAGCCCTTGCAAGTCAGGGCCGGAGGATAGGAGCCACGCAAACGGCACCGTCCCGTGGGAAGTCACCCTGGAATCCACGGGAGCTCGGCCAGAGGGTGGACAGTCCACTCCGGCCATTTCAGCAGCTTTGGCACTGGAACAGGCCCCTTGTGTTGACACGCAAGGGAGGCACTCGGATTGGGTGTCAAGACGTTTTGGTCTGACCCTGCTGTTTGGTTTGCACCTTCATTTGTTGGTGAAATAAGGCAGGGATTTAGAGGGCTGAGGCAATTTCTCGCCTGGGCACAAACAGCGCTGCAATCCTGCCCATCGGCTTTTCAGCAACCCCGAAGCTGCACCCACGAGGATAATGGCTCCTTGTGGGGAGTGACTCCTTTGACCACACGCTAAAATACTTAATGGCCATGATTATAGTTCACAGACCCTTGAGCAAAAGATCACTGCAAAAGCAAACCAAGCAGTTCGGTTGACCGAAGTGCAGCGGGGAGGGAGCAGAAATTCCCTCGAATAAATGGAATGTATGAAGCCATTTACAAGAGGACGTAGCTTGGGAGTCATGCCTCCTCCTCCCCTGCTCCTGCTCCAGCTTTTGGGAAGAGCCCGGAAGTTGCCGATAGGCCAACGTCCAGGTTCCCGACGGAGGTTCCCAGTGTATGTGCACTGATGTATCCCCATTTAGGCAGCGCTGCTGTGCAGGGGGCGAGTCGTGACCTTTCCGGGAATCGTTCTTGGCGGATAAGCAGGGCCTCAGTGTGAGGAATAGATGGGAAGCATCCGGGATTCGGCCGCAGGAAAGGTGGCAGGTTGGTGGGAGGCCAAGCAAATCTGCGTTTCTGGGGAGGCGTCTTGCCCTGGAGAGCTTCTCAGGGGGTTGGGTTCCCTGCTTATGAGCAAGAGGGCGCTAAACTGAGGAATTCCCTTCCAGAAGTTGCAGCTGCGGCCAGTCTGGACGGCTTCAGAGGGGGGCTGGATGAATTGGCAAAGAAGAGTCTGGCCAGGGGCAGCCAGTCCTGGCAGTGCCCTCCATGCTCTGCACTCGTGTCGCGGGGATCGTGGGCTCAAGGAGCTTTGCGCACCTGCCTGATTTGGGCTCCAGGAGCATCTGGACTAGCTGGCCCTCCTACGTTCGCGGGTCTTGTTATCCCAGGCACCAAAGCTGTCTCCTGGGCAGGACTGGAGGAGGAGCCACTCCGTGGTAGCATTCCAAAACAGAGGAATTGTGGAGAGAAGGGGGTTGGCTTGGGACAGGTGAAATACCCCACCCCCAGTCGGAAAGATGCCCTTGGCAAGCTGTAGAAAGAGTGAAGCTCTCACCTCAATCAGGATTGCCAAGACTGCCAGGCCGTCCGACTTGTCTAGGGCGGATTTCAAATCCAGGTATCTGTCGGAGTTGTAATGCACGATGTGGAGCTGCGGAGGGGGGATAGAAGGGCCAAGCCGTCAGTGCGCGTAACAGACTTGCAAAGTTTTGCAAGCAAATCAGTTCTCCGATGTGCATCCCTGGAGTTTTTGTGGCAGGCACTTTTAGGCAGGCACTTGGGAGCTCAGAAGGCCTCCGGAAAGCAGACGCGGCAACCCAGAGTTACAGACCAAACTCTGGAATAAGAAACGCAAACTGGGAGTTGTCGCTCTCATGCCGTTTCCATTCACTTCTGCACCACGTTGGATGACATGAGTGGGGGTTGCACTGAGCCCTGTAGACAGTCCATCGGATCTGCCAGAAGGGGCACCTTTTAGAGAGACAAGAAAGCAAGGGCGGGACAGGATGGAGATAAGCCCTTCAGCAGGAAACTGGGCAGTGCAACCCCCGGGAAAGTAGCAGGGAGAATGAAAGAGCAGGAAATCCCAGCAAGGCCTGGGCAGGAGAGCTCTGGTGGGTTGAGCCACGGGTCTGTGACGAGGTTCTCACGCCAGGCACCCGGCAGCCCCGGGACGGCCCCGCACGCGCGGTCCTTGCCCTCTGCCTGGGATTCCACCTTCAGGGCTTCCCTGACTTCCCTCCAGAGTTATGATTAGCCCTGAGAGGTGGAACCACTTGAAGGAGGGGCGCATAATGACAATTCACTGCAGGCCCACTGCTTCTGTGGTCACAAATAGGGCTCCACCCGGGAAATTCTTAGCTGAGCTTGGAATATCGAATAATGGAACTGAAAGTGACTAGCCACACATACGATTCCCTGAGCAGATGTGCTGCTCTCCCCATGCATGGAAGCGTTTAAGCGAAAAAGAGAAGACGACTTTGTCCATTTCCTTCTTGGACTTGTTTGCTTTACAGTCTGATGCTGTAAATGTGGTATTTGCTGAAGGAAAGGGAGAACTGAATCCAGGAAAAAGGTGAAAGAAGACCACTTCTCCAAGACCAAAGAAATTTTAAAGAAGCATTGTGAAAGTTAAAAATGCTTTTTATGTACTTGAACAGACTAGTCAAAACTCCTTTTAGTTACATTTTTAAAAATTACTTTTCCATGCAGAAATAGATGCTGGAAATGATGCCCAGCTTCAAGAAGTACCATGGAGGGAAATGTTGAGGAAACTAGGGATTTAATCTACTGTTCTCTGTTGTGAATCTGTTTTATTCTGCTGATTTAAATGCCCTTCAGATTAATTGCAATAATATTTTAATTGGATGTCTTTCTGAAATATTTTGGAAGTAAAAGAAACTTGGTGCTGCTAGGCTTTTTAGCTCTAGCATGGCGCTGATGCCTTGCCTCTGGCAGCAAAGCTTCTTGCCGCTGCACTTAGGCTGGGAGGAAATGGCACAATTAAAGAATAAAATACGTTCCTTGCTGAGAAAACTTAGACTGAATCAGCAAAAAGACCAAACCAGCCGCTTAAACATGAAACATCTGGAGGAGGAAAACAACAATTAGCCAACATTTGATGGCACATTGGAAAAAACACCATCTCCATGAACTGGCAGAAGCTTCACGTGGAAAGAGGACAGGGAAAGAGAGAAGCAGGGAACAGCAGAGTTGGAAGGGGCTGGAGAGCCACTGGTCCTGCTGTTCCATGTCCTACTTCTCTTTGTGATGACCTTTTAAGCCCTGTCTCCCCTCAGTTTTCTCCTCCTGGGGCTAAACGTGCCCCGTTCTTTCCATCTCTCCCCACAGGGCTTTGTTTCCGTGCCCAGGACCCTCCCTGCTGCCCTCCTCTGTACCTTTCCCAGCTTGTCTGCCTCCTGCACCTGCAGAAGGATGCTCTGGGTGCTTGGAGCTCACCCAGGTCCCGCAAGGGCAGGCACCTCCTTCCAAGAGACGTTGGACGGAGGTGGTGCGAAGGAGGGCTGCGAGGAGGCAGCCAAAGCACCGGTCTTTGGTCATCTCCAGCTTCTGGTCAGCTAAGGCTGCCCCGCAGAGAGAGGCATGCACTCAGTTTATAAACGCAGAACCCTCTTACTTCTGCGGCAAAGTGCCTCCCGCCGACCGTGTGCTCCGAGCCCTCCTGCTTGTTTCGGTTTCCCCAGTGCAAGTGGAGCTGTGCTGCCGAGTACTGGGAAGGGAGGTTCCGGATGCGCATCCTTGAGGAAAGATTCATGTTCACTGTGCGAGGAGAAGGAAGGGTGAACGTGAGGCAAACGTACTCGGAGCAGGTAAGCCGAGCCCCTCAGGCCAGCAAATGCCACAGGTTTTTAAATGTCCGTGTAACTTCCAAGGCAGATTTTCAGAGTTTGGAAGTTCAACTCCCCCTGTGGACCTGCATGCATTATTTGAATTAATGGCATTGGGACAGTTACTCTGGCACTGTCTGTTCTTCCTCTGACCGCTGCCAAAATACTGCAGGTTACAACAGGTGAGCTGATCTTTCCTATTGACTCACCTGTGCTGGATAGAGTATTGGGCAAGCTTCAGGGTTTTAAAGCCCCCTTCACCAGGCAGGATGATAAAATCACCGATATAAAGTTAGCCCTTCCTTGCTGGGCAAGCTGGCCAGGTGGAATACTCAGGACGTAGCATTCAGTTCGAGAAAGAGGCCTGGGTTAACCATCAGGCTAAATAAGCTAGAAAAATCCATTCTGTCATCAAAAGCAGCGAGAATCAAACACTTGTTCAACAAGACTTCGCTCAATGATAAAAGTAGCCCATGCTCTGTTGGGGCCTGCCCTGGGAGACACTCCAGATGTTTAGAACAGCACCAAATTGTTTTCTGCTTCGGTTTATCTGGGACTGTCCTGATTGCAATGAAAGAGTGAGGGAAAGCTCTTATTTTTCCCGATCCAAACAAACACAGCACAGTCATTATCATGATCAGAAAATATTTTTCATGCTCCATTTAACAGTTTTGCATGTTTGACTTTTCACGCTCCATACCTGAATGTCCATTATTGGTCAAAAGAAGCTGTTCAGAGGGCAGTCTGTCGTAACCCTCCAGCTCTACTGGCAGAAGAGTGGAATCGTACTGGAGAATGTCATTATGGAAGTTGATGGGAGACTGGAAGACGCCCCCACACGAGGGATATTTCTTGGGCCACAGTTTCTCCCCATCAGGACCTGGGGCAGCCAGCAGAGAGGAATCCATATTTTACTGTGTGTCCTTCAAGCAGTTTTGCTTCCCCTTCAGGCAAACCTGGTTCTCCCCCCACCCAAATGCTTCCCAGTTTTACCCTCCCGACTGCAAGCCACAACAAGCATTTGCTGTCCTAACTGGCAGGGCCTGCTAAATTTAAGGAATGAATGAATTTATCCATGCATACTATTTCTTGTAGACCTTGATATCCTAAGATCTATAAGTGGTTTGTGTAAAAAACACATGCATAAAATACGATGGACAGACAATGCAGAAGTCATGGGAAATAGTGCGTGCGTTCCAAACATTGCCGAAGTGGATAATGGCATGAAGCGCACTTGGGTTGTTTTGTAGTTATACGTTGTTTTGCTAGTGGATGCACGCAGTGGGGTAACATGGTGGTTCTCCAGCTGAGGAGCCCGCCTCATGGACTGCTGTCACGAGCACTTAATGTTGTCCGGCACCAAGTCACTTCCCTGGCCGTGTGTTTGGTGAGAGGCCCACGGCAGCTTCACCTGCTCTTGCCACGGGACGAGCCTGGTTTTATGAATGAAGGAAGGAATGGCGATCTGGAGCCACAGGAACAACCTTAGCACGCCGCTGCGAAGCCAAGGACTCTTCCCAAATGCAGCCTGACATGAGACTGGACTTCCTAATCTTGTACTTTTAATGTCACAAACTAAGGCATCTACTTACCAATATAAGACCATTTCGACTCTAGAGGGAAAAGAAAAGGACCATGAGCTTCAGTCGCAATGGCATCACTTCATTCGCTCACTGGATCATAGAATCTACTACTACTATTGGAAGGGGCCATGAAGGCCATCGGGTCCAACCCCCTGCTGTTGCAGGACACCAGTTCCACACACACAAGCAAAAGGCAGCTGCGGGCACACTCGGAGCCTGCCAGAACGGCACTGATTCACAATAGGAAGCAGCCCTGTCTTTCAAAAGTCCTTAAGAGCACGGTTCTGGCCATTATACCTCCCTACCCTGGTATGATCCAGGTGTGATGGACTTTGACCTCTGCCTGAAGGCCATAGAAACATAGAAACTGAGTGAGTCAGAAGGGGCCTCCCGGGCCATCTAGTCTGACCCCTGGCTCCAGCTGGCTCTGCTCACGACATGCCCACCCTGTGCATGTCTAGCCTATCCTTGAACACCCGCACTGATGGGGCCTCAACCACCTCCTGTGGAAGCCTGTGGCCATTGGCTATGCTGGCTGGGAAAGGCAGGACAAGCAGTCCAATACGTCTGGAGGGCACCGATTCAGGGAAGGCTGATGTGCCTGCTTTCTCAAGAGGAAGCCCTAATGTGTCCAGTGACGTCTCGTTAAACATGCATAGGAACGTCTCCCCGTCCCCAGAAGTGAGGCCAGGTAACAGCACTTGCACGATGTGGGTGGAAATGTTGGACAAGCAGATCAAGAGACTCCCCCCTCGCCTTCCAGAAGAAAGGGGATTTCCGTGCATTGCACTCAACACGCTCAAGCGCACCCCTCATTCTTCCCGGGAGGCTGACGCAGCTTTGCATTTGCTCAGTCTCCAAAACTGCAGCATATTTCCCCGATCCAAGAAGGTTAGGCAACGACGCTGCACCGCTGCTTTGATTCAGAAGGCATTTCCCTCCCCTCCTGTCTCTTCCCCTCCCACATGAGCCAAATGGCCAGTATGGCAAGCTCTTGACGCGCATCTGAGGGCTTTTAAAATCCTCTCTCCTTTGAGGTTTTTGGCAGCCTGCGCCGGCGAACGCCTTGTGCGTGGCGTACGTGAGAGGGACACACCGGGGCCGCTGCACAGCCCAGCCTGGAATTCTTGCCTGCATGTCAGAAACTTTACCCCAAGTCAGAAATACTTGACTGCTCAGTGCTTGCTGTTTCTAACCTGCCTCCCCACTTTAAAATCCGCCAGACAGCCATCCGAACGGAGATGCTCGGCTGCAGGAACATCTTTGCAGGATGCCAGAAAACAAGGCTCACTCCAGAGTCTTCTGTGAACAAAGGGTGCTATTAAATTTGCAGTGAGCACCGCTCAGGGCCGGCCGGCCTTTTTCTGGATGAAAATGTCTCTGAGTTACCCGTGTGGCAGTAGCAGTGAAAAGACAAGAGCGGAGGGATCCCTCCGTAGCAAGGAATGTCCCGATTTCTCCCAGTGCATCATCTTTGTTTTGTGTTTGGGGAAGCTGCTGTGATTTATGTAATTTCTACTTTTCCTGGAGATGGTAAGCAGCAGCTCTGTGCGATTTGATGCTGTCAAGATGCATTGGACTACTTCTCCAATTATCCCCAGCCAGTACTGCCAGTGGCCTGCAGGCTGGGGGAATGGGTATTGTAGTCCAATGTGCCTAGAGCACACCAGGTTGGGGAAGGCTGGTGCATGTAGTTCTCTCCTCTCCAGCCCCCATTTTATCCCCACAACAACCCTGCAGAGTAGGCTGAGAGATCATAACGAGCCAAAGATCAATCTGCTAGTTTCATGGCTGACTGGTGATTTGAACCCGAGTCTCCTTAGTTCTTGCCCTTCGCCCAGGTGGAGGGAGTTTGTCGTTAAATTGGCCACAGCCGTAAGAAGCAGTTGATAACCTTTGGGGGGGAGGGGGATACATTTTTTTTAATGGTTTGGGGAGCCTGAAATGGTCCAGTGTGGTCTCTATAGTGTGAGGATAACTTCCTTCCCAACCTGACGACTGGAGTCTGCCGAGAAGGGGCCACGCTCACGATACTGCAGGCGGATGGAGCCAAAGCGCTTTCCAGCACTGTGCACAGACCAGCAAAGCACTCGATGTGACTAGGGCTTGGGCTGCACGTGTGAGCGGAGATGGGTGCTGGCACGATAAACCTCTCTCAGCCACGGGGAGCTTCCTTATATCGGATCAAACCATTTGTCTGTCAAGAGCTGCCGGACAACGCCAAGCAGCTAACCCTCTTCCCGGCCCCTGAACATCACCTGCTACCCGATCATCCTGATATCTGATGGCCTGGGGCTCCGCAGACAGCCCGCTCCTCAGTGCCGAGTCACCAATCTGCAGAATGGACGCATTATTCCCGGCCAACCTGACAGGGCTGCCGTGCGGTTTCCACATGCAATACTTTCGAACCCCCGACAGTATTAACAGCATCATCATGTGCACGGCCTGCAGCGGTGGGTGCAGTCTAGGGTTTGAGAAGCATACGTCACCTCTCTCCCCTCCAGGAATATGTGCCTTAACAGATGTTTCCCAAGGAGCCGGTGCGAGCATCCGCGCACCTCCCGCGAGCAATCAGACGCACAGGAGCACACCCCCTCGGCTCGCACGGAGGCCCCCGGGCTCACCTCTAAGGGCCTCCAGGAGAAGGGCTGTGCAAAGCATCTGAGCCCCTTTGCACCTCCAAGACAAGCCGAGACCTCCTCTGGGGCTGCCACCGCCCTAGGAGGGCCTGCAGGATGGGATCCTCGGGGGTCCTTTTGCGGCTCTCCCCACCCTTTTCTTTAACAGAGAGAACCCATCAAAAGGAAAAAGGGGAAGAGCTGCACCGTGCCTTCTGGTTGCCAGGACCGGGGGCACTCCACCACGCAGCACCCCAGAGCTGCCTTCTGGCAACGCTTTGGCGCATCAGCACAGGTGGCAGGAATAGGCACACATGCGCAGGTGAGGGCAGGGATGGACCGAAAGATGGGGCTAAGCTGTCAGCCCGAACCCCACAGCCTGTGAGACGGGAATCCGTGCTTCGCTTCCCGGGCATAGCATGCAGCCCCGATACCCCCCGGCACACGGGCGGGAAAGAATCCTGAAAAGCTCTTACCATTCACAGGTGCTTGTGTGGAAAGGTAAGCCCCGAGGACGAGTGCCAGGAAAGCAGCTGTGGGAACCGCGCTGCCTCTCGAGGCCATCACCTGCAGGGAAGGGTCTGGGCGGCTCTGGCTCCTTCCACTCAGCCGGCTCCGGACGGAGGGAGAGACTTGTGGCCAGTGGCACGAGGAGCTCTCCTGCTCACAAATGACGGCTCTCTCCCCCCGGCGGCCGTAGCTTCTCCCCAGCTCAGCCCCCAAACAAATGATGTCAGGCAAGGCCCTGCCTCCTGGCCCAGCCTCACGCCACCTCCCTGGTCTGCTTTGAGAAGCTCTGCTCAGAGCGGGACGGGATGCTCTTCACACCTCTTGGGGACAGCCCTGCCCTCACAAGCGCAGCCGCTCTCCTGAAAAAGGCCCCTAAAGGGCAGCTTTTCTGGGAGTTCCCACCTCTGAGGGCCCCTGCAAGCTCAGGAATCAGTGCGCATGGTCTTGTTATCCAGCCAGCAGCTCAGGGAAGCCGGTGGCTGTGATATCAAGCCAGAGAACAGTGCCAACATTAAACGGGGACAGTGGCACATCCCAAAAAGCACAGTGCAAATAACAGCTCTTCAGTCAAGGAACCGAGCGGCAGCGATTCAGTTCAAAACAACATACATTTATTTCTTTAACCAGAATTCTAAAATAGTCAGAATTTAACATGCCTCTGCAAAAGAAGCGTTTTGACGGTGCCAGAGGAAGCGTTGCGGCCCCTCAAAGGTCTTTGCAGGGGCACTCCAAGGTCTGGGCACGCCGGAGAAGGGCCTTTTCCCTCGGGGATCCCCGTGCACGTTTCCCGGTCTACGGAGAAAGTCCTCCAGTGGTGGTCTTCCTGGGTGAGAAGGCAGCCCCATCCTTCCTGCCAGCAATTTCTCCTTCCTTTGGGGGGCTTGAGGGAGCCCTGACTATTGGCCAACGAAAAGGCAAGGCACGGGGCCGCAGAGAAAAACTGGGAGACAAACTTTCCAAACGCCCAGCCCTGACACCACATTGAGATCCGGATGCTCCAGGGCCACAGGCCGGACCTTAGGGCCTCTGTCTGCTTGTCTGTGAAGGACCGACCTACTGTGAAAACAGTAGCGGATCACTTCACACTGTGCCTGGTTTGGGGACGGAGTTACGGACTGGCCAGCCCGCCTGCCTCCCATTCCAAAGGGGAGGCCAAAAGACTGGGGGATTCTGGGTGGAAAGGAAAGCTCCCTCCGGTGGTGGCCAAGAGGTTTCCGCAGCAGAATGAGGGGAGAAGGAAGACGGACCATTCACTGGGATGGCGAAGGACAACGGTGAAGGGCCAGGGGTTCCAGGGTCCGGTGGGAAAGGTGGAGAATGGAATGACCATGTCCCTATTTGTTCCCACAAGGCCAGACCGGGGGGGGGGGGGGGGAGAAGGAATTCCCTTTTAGAAAGTCTGCATGCTTGCACATTTCCTGCTGCTTCACTCTTCCTGGCTGCGCCTTGCTGATACGCTTCCTGATACTTAATATACAGTCTCCGGGCACTTCTGGCCATCGGTTCCCCAGGTCCCTCCCCATCTTGCCTTGCGGCTCGCCATAATTTGAGTTGATCACGGGTTTTAAGTCTGAATTGTGAAGCTTTTCATGTGATCAGACCTTTGTTCTGTCCTTTGACTATTTCACCCTGGGTTTCCTTCTAGTACTTTCCCTCAGGCCTGGTATTCAGACTAAAGGAACTTGGTAGGAGTTTTTGTTTCGAACTTTGTGTTCTGTTTCATTACCCGAGGATTAAGGAAACAAACTGCAGTTTGTTCAGTCATCTGCCAGACAAACCTTGGGCAGGGCAACAATCAGTGGGTGAAACGAAGCATTGGGGGATTATATGCAAAGTATGTGCTGCTTTTAAATGCCATGTCATAGTTCTGTGAACAGGACAAGGATCATTTCTCAGAAAATCACAAGCTCCAACTCACTCCAGACGATAATTTCCCAGGAAGCTCGAGGTTGCTGCTGCTTTCATCCTGTGATCTTACAAGTGCAGAATTCAGCAAAATCATGGGTGTAGTGCGGGCATGTGGCTTTCATTAACTATCTGCCCTTGTGCTGCAAGATTCTAGTCCTCATGGTTCATGGGTTTAGCAATATGCAGGCAATTGCCCCAAGCCAATGGAGGCTGCTCTTCATGTAGACCTTTGACCTCAGGCACCTAGCTTGCTGCCTGAGAGGGATCCCAGTTTTGGAGATCCAGGTGTGCATGGACCATATTGCTCCAATGGGGATGTCTGCAGCAGAAAGCTGCACAACACTTTGTTAAAGAAAGCTTAGTCCTTCACAGAACACTGAATCAGTTCATGAACAGATTCATTTACATATGAGCAAAACGGCTGTTCTTCTGAAGACAAAAAATGTTCGTTGCCACTTGATGAATACACGCGTCATATTAACAAACACCGGCAGAAAAGAGGCTTTCCTTGCTGGGGGAAGGAGAGCACCAGGGGATGCCACCTCGGAATGGTGCTTGGCAAGGTTTGCAATGAAAATAGCACTTGCTTTAATCTCCTCCCTGATTAATCAAGGCACCTGCTTAGTTGGTCAGAAGTCTGGACAGTCTATTAACTTATCTGATTGATTCACTGCAGCGCAACACACACTTGTGTATGCAGAAAAACCCCTTCCTTCTTTCCTTCCATCTGTCCGTCCATCCATCTGTCCTTCTTCAACTTGTAAGCTGCCCCCTTTGACACTAATCTGGCTTTTCCTTTCCCGGTAATTGGGAGATGGGTCCCAAGTCAGTGGCGGAGCCCCCGCTATACCTGCCGAGGGTCCTGAACTCGGTCATCTGCAAAATCTCTAGGCAGGGCAGGGAACAACCCCTGCCTGAAATCCTGAAGAGCTGTTGCTGCCAGCCCGTGCTGCCAGCACTGGGCCAAGTCAGGCAGGGCAGACATGGTGCACGGTGGCTTTTGGCTTTCCAATGACAGGAAGATTCTTTTGCGCCTTCTGCCTTTCCTGAAATGAGCATTCCTTGCAGCTTGCCATCATCAAAGCTCGAGCGAGGCCATTTGAGTTGACTTTGGAATGCCCTCCGTGTTCTCATGGGCAGGCGCTCACAAAGGCTTGTTTCTGAAGTCTCCAGACCCAACGATGAGAAACCGAGGGCTCCTCCCCATTTCCCCCTTCGCTCGAGGCCAAGCTGGTGCGTGATCCAAGCCTTCAGACCTCCACTCCAGAGCCACGTAAAGATTCCCACGGCAATCAGCTGCCTGTAGCATATCTTTAGAGCTGGAATGTTTATGGAACTGGTTTTTCCACCACCTTCTTGGACAAAAGTCTGTTTGTCAAGATCTTGCACGGAGTCATCAGAAGCTGTTGCAAGGGTCACACGCTCCCTGTCTCGGGGACCGTCCTTCCCCTTTGCCACCATGGCATGTCACGTTTGCCTCTCCACCCAAGGGCCGTGGCATTTCTGTGGTGCACGTGAGCCTGGGGCAGGACCCTGCCAGCTGAAAGGCCCTCGCAAGCTCAGCTCCGGCGGCGCCGCGACCCTCTGCTGACACAGCCCCTGTTCTGCAGCACGGAGACCTTCCTAGCAAAGGGCAGCCCTCAATTCAGCTCTGCCTTTCCTCCTGAGACCCTTAATTCACATGGGTAAGGTATGTACCCCACTCCCTTCCAGGCAGAGCGGTCCAAAACAGCCTCTGATCAGGATGCCAGCAGCAATCCGTTACGCAAATCTGTTTAGAAAAAGTAATCAGCTCACCAACAACTGACAGGAATCCAGACAGAATTAAACGTCTGGAGACACAAACCCGAACGGCCCCCGTCGCCAGCCATCTTGGAGAGCCATTCCCAGGGTAAGTTTGCCTCCCTTGTCAGGAGGAGGGGACACAGGAGGGCTGCCATGCGCGCAGAAGCAAGGTGTCCTCCGTTAGTTTTCCGGAGTCCTGGATGTCTGCGGTCCTTTGTCCACAAGCACAGAGCCTCTAGAGCCTTGGGCAGAGGAGGAATAAACAAATTGGTAAGGCAGCGTTGCAAACGCCCCATTTGTAGTATAGTCTAAGGTGGAATTGCTGGTTGCCCTCCCTTTGGTAAACATCAGGCTGTCTGAGCTCTGCGTGGACGTGGCACCCGACTGGGGTGGCAGCACCGGTCACGTCTGGGGAGCAGCTGCTTGGTGCCGATGCGGCCACAGCGCAGGGCCAGCTTGCGGGGCTGTGTCCTTCCACAGGGAGGCCACTTAGATCAAAGGGGCAGGTCACAACGGCAGTACTATTGGCGTGCTGGCAATGGAAGTACGCTTGGCAACAATAAAAACAACCTCGCTGCCAGAAAAATAGAAAAACCAAGCATATGTAGAACGGGGAGCCATTTAGCCAGAGTTTTACCGCTTGCAGCCTGTGAAGGCTGGGGAGTCCTTTCCTGGGGAAAAGGAGGAGGAGGTCCCAGCAGGCACATCTCCCTGGGACAAGCTTTCCAAGAACATGGGGCTGCCACCAAGAAGGCACTGCCTGCAGTCACCAAATGCCTTCGACAACAGAGTCACATGGATGGGGCTTCCTCTTATGGTCCCACTGCCAACACGTGGGCAGGCTGGCGGGAAGGTATTCTGATCTGAGCCGGCCCAAGACAGCGCAGGTCAGGGCGAGCACCTTGGCTTCCCCACTGACCCACCCTCCAGGCCTATCTCCCCACTCAGGAGCTCGGAGCTGCCTCCACCTAGATTTCTCCACGCTGTGCTGGTGCTGAAGTTAGATCCCTCCATAAATAGCCTCCGCAGTTGCCCCTGTTCACCCAGAGCCCTTTGGGGCGGCTCAGCTCAGTTGAGGCACTGCCCCTCTTGCAGCATCACCGGGAGGGGGGGTGCCTTGCTTTACCAGGATGTGGGGGTCGTCTCTCCAGGCTGCCTGCTGCTGCACATCGCCGCCAAGGAAGTAGCCTCCTCCCCAGTCACGCCTGGGTCCATCTGGTCCCGTCCGGTCAGCACTGACTGGCAGCAGCAGTTCCCCAGAAGCGCGTTGTGAGAAGGGGGTACTTGAAGCTTCTCTCCAGCCATGGGAGCCAGTCTTGCCATTGCCCTGCTTCCAACAGTGAAAGGGAACTGGGCTTCTC